ATTGCAGGGTGCTCGACCTGCTGAAACCCCGGTTTCCACGATCGTACGGAAGCATTCGCGCAGCCTCGATTACTTCGATAATTCGGTGATTCAACCGGCAACGTGATCAACCGGACGATCGATCGCGCGAACGCCTCTCGAGCGGCGCGTTTCGCACTCGAACCTGAATTGAAATTTTAGTCTTTATCTCTTAATGGAAATCCCTGCATGTCAGGTCTAATTAGTTCTACATTAAGACCGATATTCATAATCGGATCTTATATTTAAGACCGTTTTAAATTCGTCTTCGGATATCCCGTAATCCATTCCGTAGTCCAATGAAATGAGCCGCACGGCATCTGAAGATAAACTCAAAACGGTCTTAAATCCGACTATGAATACCTAAGTCTTCAAAGTTCTTCTATTTTGGTCCTTTGATGCTACAAATAGGAAGTTATTACCGTTTTCTTCACGTTTAATGTAGAATTAAAATTTCGACTCGGAAGGTCTCAACTTCCCTTTACAGCATCAAAGGAACACTATTAGTGCTCCTATGAATTATGCTACAAGTGAGACGTTATTTCCGTTTTCTTTACTTGGTGACTTAATGTGGAATTAAGTAGACTTAATGTAGAAATAAAATTTCGACTCGAGAAGCAAGTGAATCTCGTGGTTGCAATCGTGTTCCCGTTGAAAGCCGAACTACGAGCGAAACAACTTTCTCAACGTGCGATTGCTTTGGAACTTTTCGTCGGCGCGTCCTGCTTCCCGCGCCCCATGATGTACACCTCCCTATGCCGATAAATTCTGTCGCGTCGCGTCTGCTCGAAGATGCGCGACGAGTAATTGAACTTTATTCCGCGTCCGTGTGTTCTAGCTGCGTCCTTGAATCTCGGAGTAAGTTCGCGCCACAAGTGTCCAATAAATCAGCGGGGCTTGATGGATACCTGCCGATGGATCGCCGACAGAGCGGTCGTCCGGTAACCTTGAGTCTGCATAAAAGTTGCGCCACACACGTGTCGTGCGGAGAGTTGCGTAACGCGATTACTTTGTGCCGAGAAACATTATCGAAATGTTCCCCGCGGACAGAAAATTCGTACACCTTCGGGCGAGTTGTAGCTCGTACAGAATGTGCGTGAGAATCATTCGGAAGCGTTTAAACGAAAGATTCGTCTTGGTTTGCTAGATTAGATCTTTATGTTATATCTTTATATTATGGATAATAAGTAGATAACACTTCTACACATTAATAGAAAGAATGTCTAAAAAAAATATAAAATATTCATTTAGTAGGTGCTAATAACATATTTACTTATAACAATATACACATTTTTACACTGAGAACACATTCTTTTCAAATGAGAAAATATATACTTTCTCAAATCTGTAATTTTTCATGAAAGCAATTGTTTATTTAATTTAAATAAAAAAAAATTAGAGAGATTTACGAAAATAGATGTTATTAGTACCGACCGTGAAGAAACATTTTTTATTTCCTACATATTTTTGTATACTCTCTTAGTATACTCCATGCTTGATTTCACAAGTATATTTTTTATTTCTTATTAGATTCTTATTTCTTTAGAAGTTTGTAAGAATCTTTCAAGTCGAGTACTGAAAAGATATGTAAAAATCCAATTCGATTGGAAGAAGAAACGAATTCCATCCAAGGAATGCGAAAATCTAATCTATAGTCAAAAGGGTTCGGACGATCTGGAGGATCTCGTGTATACGTGGTATTTCAATAGTTATTCAAGAAATGTATAGCGCAAAACCAACGCCAGATCAAATCCTATCTCGCTTGATTGATTTAGCCGTTGCTCGTATTCATGACGTATACGCGAACGATAGATATGTACGTATATGTGCGCATTCACAGAATCCTGGTCAGCATTCAGTCGACAGCACTGATTGTATTCAATCGTATTACCTCAAAACTGACAAGATTAAAAAAGAATAGACGAAAAGAGGCATCGTCACATTCAGGATATGAATATCGGTACGGTGAACACAGTGGTTATTTTGCAAACTAGAAACGAGTTCGATCGAGCTAAGTTCGTTACGTTACCTTGACAAAGGTGGAAAAATGATACGCGTATATTTGTTGCATTCTTCTTTTTTCCTTCCCTTCTCACGCAATAAATGTAGGATATAACAATAGACTTTTTCAATTTGAAATACTATTCATACATGCATAACCATATCACATTCCATTATCAATTTTTAATGAACATTTATGTTAAATCATTCAGATAAGGTAGAACGACTTAACGATATCCGTGAATCTTCCGTGTACTTTTCGTGAATTATGTAAAATTTAAAATACAAAAAATGTAAAATATATTTAAAGCGTATTCAGTACCTCTTTCTCGAAAGCGTCCTCTAGAATGTCAAGTAACCTCTCAAGACCGTGAGCGCTTCCGTTTTGTTAATAAAAACGCCTGTGAGTTCTTGAAAGGAAGGATTAAAGAAGGATTTTATTATCTCAATTGTCAAGTTCTGACTTTCATCCGCGTCAGGCTCTAGTTGGATTCATCTGACTCTCGAGATAAGTTGGATCGTTTCCTTGCAACCGGAAAATGCAACCGGTAAGAAGAGGGAGTATAATATAATCCTTACGAACTTATAATCGGATGATGATGGACGATGAAGTATTGGATTAGTTTCTTATTTCATCAGGACTCTCTTCTCGGATAACTCGCGAGAGAGAGAGAGAGAGAGAGAGAGAGAGAGAGGAAACTTCGCGAAATCGAATCATCAGTATTGTCGATCGAAAGAAATAGTTTCGATGGTATCGGTATCATTGTCCCGAGTTTTTCTTTACGCTTATGTTACTTTTTCAAAGTTGATTTTCTTGAATAAGAAATTTCATATGAAAAAATCACGACTTACGAACCTGCTTTCCGTTCCATAAAGAATTATTCCGTAAGACTGCAAGAAAAAAAAAACGCTTTAATTTCGCTCGCCGGTCGTATGTTTCAAACATATTCAAGCGAGTGCTGCACATCGCCGTGCTTTCAGGGATACATAATCTACTTTCAAGTATATAAATTCGTACAAATGTAAACGAAATAACGTAAGTTACGCAGCTTATTTTGTAATCCACACATCGTGTTTATTTCCCTCGACAATTTATTGTTCTCTTATTGACTGTTTTCTTTTTTTCCTTCGCCTCTTTCAGATATTCATCGCGCGATAAAAGTGCCTGCCCGTCGTAAATTCGCACCTCCCGAGACATTCATCCTCTAAGATTTACACAAATAGTTCCACGGCATTTGCAGGCACGTTTCGTTTCCGAGCGAACGCTCTTCTCGAGTTTACTAAATCCACGCCACCCCGGTTATATAAACGCCGATAGCTTCGGGGCTCGAGAGATCCAGGTTACGGCGTTCATCCGCGACTCGTAATCATCTGTAACGTAACACGGTAATTTACCCGCGTTAACACGTTGAGTACCACGCGCATTTCGGAGGAAATCTCGTTCAGGCTAAAAAATTAAAATTTTTTGATAAGAAATATTTAAGTATGTTAATTATACGATCCTGAAATTACTTATTAAACTAAGTAATTTTTTTAGTTTTATATCGTACTTTATACTGTCAGTCACCGGTGACTGACATGGCACTCAACGTGTTAATGAGATACACGGTGCCGTCTTATCATTAAGTGCGGATCAAAACACATGAGCGTGAATATGCAATTTCATGCAGAACAGTTTTTCTCGATTATTGCAATTCAATTTTTAAATGCTTGAAAATTTTTCATCTCGAAATTTTCAAGTTCGATTTAAAAATCGATTCTTAATTCTTAATTTTAGCCTCTGATGTTTCGTTTCAAGATCTACTTGTCCATTCTGCTTACAGATCTCGATATCGACGTAGAACGGGAAGCAAATTGCCAATCGCCCGAATGAAATTATTATAAAAATTATACGAGTCAAGTAAAAGGGAAAGTTGAATGTCACCAAAGACGCCGATGATACTTGGTTATCGCGCGATGATCGATGATCAGACGGCCAAAAAACCGCACGACACGTAATATTTTTACCTAGGAGCGACCGCGAAATCGGGCGAAGTTTGTATGAAGAACGATCAAAGTGCAATAAATCGAACAACGACGCCGATAAATGGGCGCCGTCGTTGGAAACTTTCCGCTCGTATCTCGTCAATGCTATCCGTCGAAAATCTCGCGAACTTTAATAACGCGCTATTTTTTTTTCTTTTGTGCGAGGGAGTGGGAGAGAACTCGCAGATCCTGTACGGAGTTTTAAAATATCATACGAACGTGATTCAAGAGTAGCTTCAGACTTTTTATTCAGATCTACCCTCGAGTCTTTCATGATGAAGAATAACCGCCTTAACGTGCATGATTAAACACGAAAAACGGGCTTGAGCCGCTTTTAAGAAGAACATATCAAGAGAATTTTTAATATCTTCGTAGCATACCCGTGTTATATATTTTTATCGCAATTTTTACCCTTTATCAGAAGTCATTTCCTAAAAGATTTCTCGATGCGTACGCGACGCACATCTCAAACGGTAAAATATAATTATATAGATAAGAAGTAGATAACACAAGCACTCTTACACATACACTGAAAGAAAAATGTCTGAAAAATAAAATGTACATTTATTCGATAGATACTGACATATTTTCTTATAACAATATATATATTGATGCACCGAGAACAAATTCGTTTCAAGTGAGAAAATAAACATTTCCTTAATTATAAATTATGAATTTTATAAAAATGTAATTATAAATTGTAAGCTCGACGGTCCTAGTTTCGAATTCAAATCCGCGTTATACCAATGCGGAAAAATATCGAAATGATCGTCAATAGGATCGTGTAGAGATTAATCCGTTCCGATCACCGGCATTATTCGCGAGAGCGGAACGACCAAAGCGCGTCGTTCAATTTTCATCCGTAGCCGAGGCCAACCGCGATCGTGCTCTCCGTTGCGTCACGGAGACTCACCGCAAAGGAGAAATACTATTATCAAATAATGGCGCTGTCAAAGGGAAGAGCGGGAAACAGAGCTGCGAAGAAACGGACAGCGGAACCGACACCGCGTCGCGGAGTTCGATCTCGTGTGAAACCGACGGGCCGTAAACCTCCGAGCACTCCGTATCGGCGACGACAACCGTACGATTCCATCAGTATACCTCAGCTGGTCTACGAGCTGCTCACCATCGATAAATACAACCGAGGTATACAATTGGCATCATGCGCTATCATTACGCTGCAGTAGATTGCCGTTGAAATGTTGGCGTTATTTTAAATCCATGTCACGAAAACACACATCTAATTTCTTTCTAACCACGATTTGGAGTTTCGTCACATCGTTAGTGATCTACAAGGTGTAACAATGAGAAAAAAAGATAGTGTGTCAAGTATAGGCAGGCAGGCAGACAGAGAAAGAGAGAGAGGGGGGAAGGGGAGATCCCTTTATATTACACAGAAAAAGATGCTAAATTCATTTAATCCAAATGAAAATTTGCTAAGGAGTATCGGAATAATTATTTATTTAAACCTAGCACTTTTTTCCATGCAATTTATCTCAACGTGGTAATTCCTTCAAATGACGGTAAAAGAGTAACACGAACGCATGCGGAACCGCGTGTCAAGAAGATTGCTCTTTGTTCGTGTCTCTACGTCGATCCATTCGCGAGTTACAGCCCTCGGAATTGTTGGCTCGATCGAACTAAGAAGCGACACACCTTCTACTTGCCCGAACTGCACGCTAATACACAATGTACTGAATGAGTCGAACGGGATGAATCACCGTACGTGAAGCGGTTGCAAGGACGTGAACAAGATTGGAAATAAGGCTGCGCCCGACAGTGGGGTGCAGTAATCTGTACGATAACGGAAATTACGAATGCCGACCGCTCCCACGCGCAACGGGAATCCCCATGTGTTGTCGCTCTCCGTTTCGGTGACGTCGAGCCGATCGAGCGTGTCGTTTGATACAATGATCGATATCTGCGCTTCTGTCGTAACAACTTCAAACAAAGACCGTCAGAAAGCTGAGGCTTCCGTACTCCGGGTGGACCTAGTTAGTCCTTCTTCCGAGAAATAAGAATCAATTATGTTGTTCACATCATTATATTGATGTTCACAACAATCATTGATGTTTAAAGTTTTTAAAATATCGGTTATCCCATAACATAAAAAAAAAATACTCAGAGATTAGTGATATCTATTGATAAGAGAAATTCTGATTTCTCTGTGAGAAACTAAGTATATCTTAAATAGATCTAAGATGAATAATAAGAATGTTGAATTTGATTTATTACACAATTACACGCGTTATAATATAGCTATAAGCGGTATTGTCTAAAAATATCAAAGCGTCCTGAGACTGTAGAGACTGAGATAATGTCTTTACGTTTGTTTTCGCAGACATAAGGAGATCTCCACGCTTCGAAACACCTCCTCGAAGAACGCGGCAATATCGAGAGCAGCAAAGATTTCCACACGGTATGGTCGGCCACCACAATAACTCGGAATCCATTCGAATGCCCGAATACATGACGGAATCTAGACCCACGTCTGTTGAGAGCCTGACGGAGGTGACGGATGCTGGGAATAGCTCGGCTCCTGCGAGTTCCGCCAACAGCAGCGTATCAAATGTCTCGATGAAACCGATCACGCTGGCAAACTCCCTTAACAGTGCCAGGGTACTCCTCAAGAAGAAGTCTTTAGTTCAAATCATTAACAATTACATTAAAGCGGGCATCGAGGAAGGTGCGTTTCCAAGGGGAACTTTCCCAATTGTGCGTTATCGCTTCAAATAATATGAAATAGTTTCTCCTTCGAGATTAGTAGTAAAAAGAAAGGCTCGACACATGTAGCAACCTTAGTTGCTTACTTATTCTCCAATTTCTTGAAGTAGATTTCTCTCGCTTGGAGTTTTCATTCCAAGCGAGTGAAAATGCCGCTACTGTAAATCTCTGGGTTACTCACTTCAAGAAATTTAGAAAGTAAATCTATGTAACAGGATAATTTTGTTAATTTTTCTTCCCAAAGTAGCGTGAAAAGCTTTTATAGTGCGCACGCACGCATACATAATTAAGTCGCATATAAATAAAGTAATATCTACTATTATCTCATAAAAAATGCCGGACCTTTGCAAGTCTCTCAAACGCGAAATAACTGTTCTAATTATTCCGATATTCTTTTACAGTCCGACGGTCACGAGCTCTTTTATAAAAAAAGAAAAGCTAATGTTCTAATTATTTCGATAATCTTGCACAGTCCGACGGTCACGAATTCTTCCATAAAAAAAAAAAAAACGTCGTAGCACGTGCAACAGTCTTTACGTGAGCAAGCGGAGTGCAACGACAATTCCCTGAGGCGGATGCATTGAACGAGCATGCGAGTCGACGTGCGCGAACGAGCGTGAACGAGCGAACAACGGCTGCTGGTGCGGCTCGTTCAGTGCATCTGCACCGCGGGACCCATCATTTCACGCCCGTTGTACATAAAAGTGCCCCTGATCGCAAGGTCAAAGTTCTCGAGTGACGATGAAACGGCGCGATTGCAGGGAAGCGACAAGCGAAAAAGTACATCCGCAAGGCGCTGTCTTTCGGCGTGAGATCGGGTTACCTGATCCCGGCGGATGCGCAAGGCCACCTGCTTCACGTGTGCCCGACCTTGGCGAGTTCCAGCAGGAAGACCAGCGACCCGGAGTCCCGGCGGAAACGGCGCATCGCCCGACACGGCGAGACGCGGGTAACGACGACCGACGATCGGAGGGCGATGCGCCGGGGAGTCCCGAGGAGCAAGACGTCGCGTCGCGAGGACACGACGACATCAGGTAGAAGAAGATATAAGAGACACCCTACCGAGAGTCCCGCCAGTAGCTTGAGCGCGAAAAACGACGGCCCGAGAACATCGCCCGCCCGGTCGAGACTGCGCGAGAAAAACAAGTCTGGTAGCAGCGGCGCGCCTAGAAATAGGTAGGTCGGCTCTCCGTCCGTGAAACAGCAGCAATTTCATTAACTTCGTGCGATCTGCCTGCGTGAGATTTTAATCTCGCGCGAATAATACCTACCTCGGCCTCGTAGTTATTGTTTTAGCATGCAGCAATAATAACGACCGTAAAACAACGAAAATAAATCGCTCTGGATTAAAACGCAGCGCGAAACAGTTTTTTTATATTTTCTCAGCAAAACTGCGCCGTCGTCGAATGCGAAAGTCGAATATTACCTCTTCGTTTCTTCGGTGAAGTCATCCTACCGCTGAAAATATTCTATTTTTCCATTCCTAATGCCAGATAATGCCTTGAAGAGTTACATTTGATTTCAGAAATCTTTTAACGGACTTCAGCTCGTAACACGGGTGTCTTCGTAAACACATCAGGAGTACCTTAATCGATTTAGGCGCAGAAAGCGAGAACAATATAAATATGTACATCACGGCGAAATTAAATTTCTTCTTTCACCCGTATTGTACTCTCTTGCGGCGATGACGCAATGTTCGCGACCTATATTGCTGTAGACTTTTTGTCAGTGTTCTTCTCGTGTATCTGCATGCCTGGGAAAAATTTTACTTATTCAGACCGTGTCTGTTTAGCAAAATCAACGCGAGGGCCAGCAATAAACGGGAGCGAAAACGGGGCGACAGCGAGGGCGTTGAAAAGCCAGTCAAACGACGTCGCACAGCTTTGTCTCCGAGACGCGCCGGAAACAATCACGTACCGGTCGTGGAAAGTTACGAGAACGCGAAAGACCGGGATCGCGATCGGTATAAAAGCAACGGGGATAATCACAGGGCAACAACCGAGAGGCGGAAACCGACGTCGAGTCGAGAGAACGAATCGAGGATAGAGGGACAAAAGGCTGGGTTGAATATCGACGATGATCGCGATGATGTCGGGCGTAAAATGGACGGCGATGACGACAAGTCCGAAGAAGCAAGTGTCGAGCGTGACGCAAACGGCACCAACGGGGAAACGGTTGCTTAAGAAATTGACCGCTCAGCCGAGGCCTACCTCGGAAACGAGAATCTCCTCCCTTTTGTACTTATTTATTGTTTGTAGAATGTATTTGTGGTGTACACTTTCTATACATCCATTTTTGGAATTACACTTTCACACTGCAAGCACTGCAAGCGTAACACGTGATTTTCTCCCATCACACTGTTTTATCGATTTTGAAAGAAAAAAGATTGTTACGTAAATATATGTGATTTTATTAAAAATTGGTTATAAATCTTATTCTGTGAGAGATATTTTTATTGAGTTAACTGAGAAAGAGGATACGATAACGCCATCTGCAATGTTTGCGATAAATAACACGAGCAAGCAAAAAGTTATAGAGAAAAATAAACTCCAGGTGAAAATGCAAAGCATTAGCTGTGAATGCTTAGTATCGCACAAAAAAGTCTTTTTAATATTTGCCGTGGGAATTTTTCGGCTGTCATTGCGTCAAAAACGCGAAATTTTATTGAACAGAAAACGCCCGTGAGATCGTAGATGTCCGACGATCGTTACTTCGCAATCAAAACCATTGCTATTTTAATCGAATACAACGAATTGCCGCTGTCACAAACATTTCAATTTCATTCTATGATCAAACAACGCTACGGACAAAATCGCGCGTTCCGCAGTATTAACGGATTTAGAGCTGTCGCTGTCGAGTCTACTTCGCATTTAAATCGCAATTGTCTTTATAAAAATAATCTGCAAAAATTAGTTTACATTGATAACTCGAATCGATCATTCGAACGATATATAGAAATGACAATCACATGTGACTTTGTGTTGTTAAATAAAGGACGAAAGACAAGAGAAGAAAGCGGCGACCAAAGGAGCCGCTGGTTGCGCTTCTCCTTTAATCTTCAATATCTTGGAAATTCCTCGACAAAATTCCGCGCCACGACCGACTGATTATTTGGAAAATCCGAGAAATCTCAGCAGACGTGTCCGACGTAAGAAAATTTCCCACGTGATCCGACCTGCCAGGAAATATCAGAACCAACAGTAAGCACAAAATGGCTCGCATAAAGAGACATCGAAACGCGAGAAGTCGCCGGAGAATGAGTGAGTGATTATCTCAACGCGCTAAAGAAAGAAAAAAAGAGATTTCTTCCCTCGCATAACGGAATTAGAGTATAATGTCTCTATAATTATATAATGTTAACTATAACGTGTCATCTCAACGCGCTGAAGAAAGAAAAAGAGATTTCTTCCCTTGCGTTTCCATAACGTTCGATAATAACATAATATAATTAATATAATTAATATAATATAATTAATATAATATAATTAATATAATATAATTAATATAATTAATTATATTATTCTCTATATGTTTATAAAATGATATGCGACAGACGCTGGCGTGTATGGTCTTTAACGTGCGACACTGAAAGCAGTTAAATAATCGTGTCCGTAATAAATTGCGTTAATGAGTATAAATGGATATAATGGATATCATGATGTCTCATTAATTATGTTAAACCAATAATCCGCTTCATTTTGTATAACACCGGCATTACATATGGTCTCATACCGTTCGTAAAATCGGAACCGTAAATGCGTACGAATCCGCTCGTATTATTTAACGATATCGGCGGGGATTTCTCTTCTGTGTAGCTTAGATAATCGTTGAATAAATTACTCGCGAATTTACTGCACATCCCAGATATCTGCGAGACTCTTGGGGCCGCGACACGCCAAATGCTCGATCCGAGGTTCGTCCCCTCAGGTGTAACGTAAATATCCTTTCACTCTAACGTAATCCGCAGAGCGGCGTTATCGCAAGCCCAATATTCCGGAGTTGATCTACAAGTTTCTCGTCACGGAGGAGGCTGCTCGCGACGCGGGACGCGCTTTTGCGACAAGGTGTCGCTGCTGCGGCCAAGGACAACGCGAGGAGGTCGTAGATTCCGCGGATTTTCCGCAAACCGCCGACGGAAACATGGGTTACAGAGCCCGCAAGAACACCGGTAAGGTCTCGAAATCTCGCGTTCTCAAACGGCATCGCTCGTCGAGGGATCTGCCGGCTGCGTACCTGCAAAAATGCGTGGGCGGCGAAGGTACGGAATTAATCGATCGCGTAATTATAGATCAAAGTTAAATTGGCTTGACGAGAATCGGGGAATGCGAGGATGAATCTTGCCTACCGCAGCTATAAATATCACGCATTGATCGCGGCATTTTGAATATGTTACATAGCTTTCGAAGTGGAATTTAATAATAGCTCCGTAATATGATATTGCATTGACGTATGGCGAGCGTATTATTTTAGTCGCCCACTGTTGAAAATTCAATCGTAACTTACCGAAACGAGTATCAGCGCGACTCTGTCGAGAGTAAAATCAAACGATCGATGTGATAATTTAAACGTCTAATCGGAATTATATCGAACGATAAAATTATGTCAACAAATTCTCGTGATCTGTGAAACGTAAAGTCCGCAAATAACTGCATCCTGAAGAAAAAAAGGACCGATAACGATGTATTGCAGCTACTGTAAGGAATGGCAACGTCTTATCTCGGATAAATAACGTGAATCTCCCTTAACAGAGACGAGAAAAGCAAGAAAATATATAAAAGAAGCGTTGGACTTCGGTGTCGAGTCCGGCTACCTTATTCCCTCTGATCCCTCGTACAAAGTCTTACGCGTATCCTCGGATCTGATAAGGAGAGATTCACGGAGGAACAGGATAAGTACATGCGACAAGGCCGTCGCTCAGGAGCAGGACAAGAGTCTGCGTGACACCCCGACCAGGCTCGACGACCTGCAGGTGCAGGAGCAAAGGAGGAGAGGACGCAGGAGGCGAAGGCGAGGACGAGGAGCAAGATCGCGAAGTGTCTCGCGCCGTAGGGGCAGTAGGAGGAGGAGAAGGAGGAGGAGGGGAAGGAGGAGCAGGAGCAGGAGTAGGAGCAGGTCGCGCAGGAGGAACAGCAGGTAAATGTTCGGAGTGCAATGCGAGTATGGAAAAACGTAGACGCGTGAGAGTTGTATAAATTGCAAATTCGACGGGAGTCACTCGTGCTGAGACGATAACTGAGAGTCCGACGACGAGCTCGGTTACTTTTAATCTTTAAGTTGCGACTCGAATATTGATTTTACATTGAAGCAGACTGCAAAACTGGATAAATAGACGATTTATTGTCGATTTAAGAGCGACAAAACTTTAAATATTTATTTAATAATTAAGTTAGTAACAATTGAGACGGTAAATAGAAAAAGACATATCTGCAACCCAGCGAGAAGTGGTTCGCGTCGATCGATGTCGAAATCGATGGTGAAAAGTTCAAATCGACATCGATTAAACATCGTTTCGATCGACGAATCATTTCTCACTGGGAATGTAATCGACGACGAGCTTGATTATTTTTCAACCCTTAAATCGCGATTGGAATGTTAGTTTTATGTTGAATGAAATCGCGCAGCAAGATATACAGACAATGTAATAACAACGCGCAAAATATTGCGTTGAATAATTAAACTAGAAGCAATTAAGAGTAAATGGAAGAAACGATACCTATGCAACGTGGAAAAGTCCGTGCGATTGCGCGCATCATCGTACGCCGCGTGTACGATCGATAAAATTATTTTTACAGGCGCATAATCATGTACCTATATACGTGTATGTGTGTGTGTGTGTATCTGTATGTGTCTCTGTTGGGCAAAATAATTAGAATCTAGCGTCATAATCGCTCGCACGCTATCGCACTGCGAACCACCTAAGTCTAGAGGCGCGATAAAACGCTCAAAGGAATTTCCAGCCCGCAGAATCCCGAAGAGGTTGCCGAGGACGAGGTGAACGATTACGAGATAGATGAGAACGATCCAAAGAGCAATATTCAGGACGGCGACGTAGAAAGAGAGCCAAAGACCGCACGATCGAACTCGCCTGACGAGAAACAATCCACGAAGAAAGCCGAGGAGAATACCTCGGACTTATCCGTCGACGAGGACGAGACTGACGACGATGAGGAGGAGGGAGAAAAGAAGGTGAGCAGCGCAACCAAATCGTAGCTTTGTTTACAAATTTAATTATAATCCGCGGAAAATCTCCCGTAATAAACAACAATTCCTTTCCTCTCATTTGATATCACATTTACTAAATGTCTTCTGCGACGGAAAATTTATTTTGTATAGAATCGCTAGATTCCTTTACTTTTTTTTTTAATATATCGGTTTACTACAAACTCGTACGTGTACGATGTCATATGTATGGTCATGGCTAGTCTCCGTGTGTATCCAATAAATGTATACTTGTAATCTGACAATAAAACAATTGCGTCACAACCAGTACTCCGAGCGACTATCATTCGCCGTATCCTGAGCCACGCACGTCCAACTTTTTTTGACATTCTATTGAAAATAAACCGGCTGATCGAAAGAGGTACGAGGGAATTGTTATTTGGCCTGTGTGACCCCCTTTTCAAAATTATAGCCGGGGACCAAAGCGCGTTTCACGACTCCGCGAATTTACGCGATTGCTCAAGAATCAATTTTCTCCTGCGAATTTATGACGTCGATCGGGAGTGAAATTCTTCTCGAGGTCGCCGAAACGACGATCCTGGTCTCCGGTTGCAGCAATGAGACGGACGTGTGGCGCATTGGACACATTGCGTTAAAACGCGGAATTCGTATTTAATGATAACACTAAAAAAAAAAAAGAAGAAGAAGAAGAAGAAAAAGACGAAGAACAAAAAAAGCATTCTTCCAGCAAAAAATCCGTTTGTAGCCCGGGTTTGTTTTATTTTCTCGCACCGCAGCCATCGATTACGGAGACCATTCTACTTCTGAAAAACGAAACAGGCTGTTGACCAACTGACTGGAGCTTAGCAGCTGGTGCCCAATCCCACACAAGCTGCGGACAATCCGTGTTACGCCGCGTATCCGCCGAAAATCTGACGAGCGAAACTGATCCGAATTGTGCGCTTTGCGAATCCTTTTCCGTATCCCGTGCAAATAGGAATCAATCCAACCGGGTGATCCTGCTGGGACAAATAGATCGTGCGCGTATGCTACCGTAAATCCCGAATAAGGGTTCTGACCCGAACGATCAAATACGGTCACTGGAGACCCTTCATCCACTTATATATACTAAAAAGGTAGAGGTCGTACGAGAACGGAGATAGGTGAACACCGATGGACGCACGTATGCGTGTGTATACGTACATAATAAAATAATAATAATAATGTATCGAAGGTCCGCAGTCGCTCGTAAATTCGTGGAACGTGATCGATTTAAAGAAGTTCGCAGATGTAGGTCAGAAACTGTTAAGACGCGTGACAACAATAACCGACCTTCGCGTTAGGATCTCTTCTATTACTGAATGTATGTTTTACGATTTTTTTCATTTTAAGAAGCGTTCTCCGCTCGAGACTATTTGCCCCACGATTATTGGGAGCACGCTCGATGTTATGTTTATCCTCAATTTTTCAGCTGGATATTTTATCGCTTGTTAATAAAACCATTGACACATATGATGCCCTTAATTATAAAAATTAACTAATTATATTAAAATATATGGAAAATATTTGTGTAAAATACTTTATGGGAAAAGAGAAAGAGAGAGAGTTTTCATCAGAGTTCGCCATTCACTGAGGCTTTCCCCTGATGCGGCATAATGGTAGCAAAAAAAGAAAAAGAAGCAAATGAGACAAGGGTCAAAACAGCAGAAAGCGAGAACGGTGTTCTTTCGAGCGGGCAACGGATGAGTAATCCTGACAAGCGAGCAAACCGCGCAAGCATAGGGACAAATTGGCCGTTAGTCAAACCACGTGTAGATCCCCGAGGAGATCTCGATCTTCAGCGCGTGCACGTGCTACGCGTGACAAAGTGCGTCACAGAATAGCATCTTCGGAATCATTGCTTCTGACGAATAAAGAAATAGGTGAAAAGACGGATAAAGAGCGGAGAAGAGGGAGAGAAAGCGAATGTAAAGGTCTGCCAATGGGTTACGGAAATCGTGTCGGGTCTCCCTAGTAGTAAAGGGCGAATCTTAATTGAGCGAACAAGATTAGACGAACGAAGGCGACGCCCAATCGGGCCGGTCACCCATGTGGATAGCCGCAAGAAATACGAACAGGCGTATCCGGAATCCTCGGAATTTCTGTCCCGCGACACAGAAGGCGTCAATAATACCTTCCAGTTCCGGTTGAGGAATTTTCGGGTCGAACGGATCGTGCGCGAGTATTCGTGCGACATGACTTGATCGTGTTTGATAGTGATAGCAGTTGTACACGTACATACACACACATAGATACGTACACTCATGTGTGCACGCGCGTGCATTCAAATACACACATACAGTCGGTTAATTAAAAGTTGCAACACTTTTTCTCGATGAGTTTTGCAACACGTCTGTATCTAATAAGAAAATGTGTATTTCCCCTGAGAATTGCTAAAAACAAATTCTCATATTAAATATGGGATAAATTATGAAACTCGACGAAAATCAATGTAATCTTCAATCAACCGACTGTAAATATTGAATGGAAATATTGCCGATTGTAATATTAAATCAAATAGTCGACTGTAAATATTAAATTAAATATGTAAATATTTATTTGAATTTAATTGAAGTGAGGTTGGAAGATAAAGGTTAACAGGTTATATAAGCGATATAGAATGAAGGAAGAAAAAAACGGTTTCGACTTCTCTAATCAAGTCGTTGCGAGTAAACGTGTAGATACGATGCGTTCGATATGGAGCTCTAAACCAGAGGTGGAAGGCATTATTGGCACCTTTTATATTACGAACCTTTTTCTTGCTTGATCCTTTGTGCTGGAATATCCTTGCATGAAACGACTCAAGACTTCACTGCAAACAGGAAAACGATAGGTATTCCTTTATTTGAAAGTTTAACGAAAATTTCGTATTCTTATCATCAGCTCTGTATTTCACGCGGCGTATAAAACGATGCTTTGCTTCAATTTGAAACAGTCTCAGCGAGTAAACCTTTCGTCTTTATATTTTTTCAGAAAAAAATTCGAGAAACTAGGAGCTTTCGAACTTTGGAGTTTTCCGGCAACCTTAAAAAGAACAAAATATTCGCTTCGAGTTCCGAGTCTGCGACACACTTAGTTTTCTATCCTTTCAGAGACAAAATTACTTTTCTTCGGTGGTAAGACATCGTTTAACACATTCGTTAAAATTAAATCAGTCGTAGCAAATTATAATCAAGATAAATTACATCAAGTTTTTATTTTTCAGAATTTACGATTATAAATCAAGTCTGTGCCTTGTCGTTATCTGTATTACATAATCTTCTCGATAGAACCTTTCGATGAAACAAATGCATGTGAAAATACATTTCCCCCGACAAATAGTTTTTTCATCGATGTTCGTATTTATAGATCAATCAAGCTCCCGAACGACATTAATCACTCTCACTTGTGCGTCATCGAATAATTGATGAAATACGTTGGTGGCGTTACATCACCAAGTTCGTGTCAGTCGATCGGCAACGATATAGTGCGAAGCCCACGATATGCCATAGAATTTATTGCGGGTTACGGGTACAAAACTTTACGTAAGTCCAGCTTCTAGGTTACGACACCAGTTTCATTCAATTGCACCGGAAAACACCCACTCAGGATGTTTCCGGTGCACTTGCGCGAGCTGAACAATTGCATGACCTTGACTAGTTTTCAGGCTTCGAAATATATCGACGGAGCATCGTCTTACTTCTTCTTTTTATTACGTTGTCTATTCGACTCTCTTTCTCTCTGCTCACTATCGTCACGTTTTCAAGCATTCACCGTCGCGTTTCGCTTCCTATTTACCAGCGTGAACTTTGTTCTCTTTTAACGCAGTAAGGAACCGTAAAAACAGCCTTTTAGCAGATACATCAACGACAGAGATAACGGAGGGGCTGAGTGATGTCCTTGTGCCATTAGACTCTGATTCTCAAGATTACATTTCACGTTAGACTACAATCCTGCCCACGCTTTCTATCGCGAACAAACTATATAAGATTCTAAAGAGGATCTCTAAAGCAGATTTAAGCATATGAGCAACGAGCACGACGAAAACGCGCCGTAAATCTGGTTTACAATGGATGCTTTGTTTCGTATACAATACAGCAAAATACCTGAGGACCATCGTACGTATCATCCGTTCAGAACATAAGTACGTCGCGTTACGCATCAAAACGCTCGTGCGCGCTTCACCATCGTTTCCTCGACTCTTCAATCCCGTCATTTCCCGAGAAGCGTCTTATCGGTACGACGGAGGGATTAAACGCGCAATACGAGGTTATAGTACATCTTGATAAGACCGCCGTCAACGCTCTTTTTCTTTCTTTCTTTCCACTTCTCGGTGCCGAGGTGTCACACCACGGCATTGCAGTGTTCCTTCCAACTCGCAGTCATTATTTTCTGGAACTTCTACAGAATGTCAGAAAAATTGATTCCATATATGTTTCCAGAGATAGAGTCTTCTCTCACTTGCGTATTGTGTGCTTGCGATTGAAAAACGCGGAAACATACGTGTGTAATCTTTTAACCCTTGCCGTTTTGCGCATATGAAAAGCCATATATTGATACTCGATCTCTCGTTGAACTTCGACGTTTAAACGCGCGAGTTTGCACATCTGCGAAGCACGTCGTTCAAATGTATCTCGTTTTTTACCGCTAAATGGTGCCGTTGTTTAATGTTTTTGTTTCCTTTTTGGTCGAGTCTGAAGTTGGACCGGTAGTGTATCGGTGGTGTTTTTATTGTATTAATAAAAAAATAATAATAATAATATCACATACATCCATCTTGTGTTTATCTTTATATAGTATTTAGAATTTTCTGTTTACGTATCTGAGTTGGAAACAGTAAGTTCGTTCACTCTTCGTTGTTTATCCACGCTCTTTTATTTAAATGTGCAAACATTAGATGTCTATGAAAGGTCAAATATACAAAAAAAAATGTTTCCAATATTTTTCCGGAACTCATAAGATCATAGATAATTATTTAAAAAATTTGAATTTCTAGAAAAATGTACGCACCAAAGTGTTAAATACTCTTTTCTCCTGCTTTTCTTCTTCTTTAAAGGAAGAGGAAGCAGAGTCTCTTTCTTTTTGTACTGCTTTTTCTCTTTTCCTCTTCCACACTTCCTGTTATTGTCACGATATTATTATGTAACGTTCATAGAAGAGGACTCGCCCTAGAATGCAAATGAACGCTTTACCTATCTCCCTCGTTACGTCTCCCGGTTTTCAAGATTTTCTCGCGCGACGTAATCCCCCGCGTCCGCGAATACGTACGGTCGCATTTACGAATTGCACGTCCCTCGTTCGTCCCTCTCAAGCTGCAATTACGGAGAACGAAGGATTGCGGCACGTGACCTTGACTAGCCCGTGAACTCTACCCCGAAATTTACGAGCGAACGCGCGCGCGTACTTTTTCCCCGCCTTGCGTCTTCCAGCCGTCGATTCCGCATACCACCCCGCGCTCTTTCCTCTCCGTCGCGCGTATTATCCCGAGCATTGTGTTCGTCCTGCTCGCACCCCCCTCGCGCTGCACAAAGCGGGAAGCGGATCGATCGCAGGGCTGCATCGCGCCTCTTCGTCGACGGGTCGTGCAACGGGACGTTTCCCGCTCCGACGACGCCCGGCGTCGTCGGTCGCCCGACGATTGCGCACCACGTGGACGCGAGTTCGCGCGAGAGTCCTCTGGCGAACCGCCGGCGCCGGCGTCGAGGGGGTTGAACGCGGGGCGATATCGGCGGTGGTGGTAAAGGTGGAGGCAACGCCGGCGTCGGCGGCGGTGGGCATCTCGATGTTGGCAGGCGCGCCCGGACACGCATCCGACACTGTGCGCCCTTCTCTCCCTCGACGCCGCCGGAGAACGGTAGAAGAACGACGACGGCGGGCTTCAGTCGGCACGCGGCGTCGCGACGCAACCCAACGCGCGTGCATCGTGCCGGACGCGCGCACCTGTGTGCTCTCTTTCTCTCCGTCTGTCCCTCGCCTCTCTCTCCCGACTCAATGGGACCGTCGACCTCTCCTGACACAAATCTGCCCGGCGAGTGATTCGTCTGTCGATTGCCGAGTGATCGAAGGGTGTGCGAGAACGGAGGACGGAGGACACTGCGGTAGTGCAGCGTCGCGCGAATCGTCCTAACGACGAGCCGATCTTCTCTCTCAGGTGAGTCGACAAATCTACCTGTCCCTCGGCGGCTCACGATCGCTTTCGCGTCGGAACGATCGGTGTGACCCGAGCATTTTACGCTCGCCGCAGGTTTGCAAGTTTGTCGACTGCATTTTTTAACGAACGTCCAGCGAGTTCCGCGGGGCGCTGAAATTTTTCTCGAGCACGTTTCTCTCTCGGGGGCAAATCGTCGGGCTCGATTTGCGATCGCACGCGGCGGGACGTGCGAAACGCGTCGTCCGGATGTTCGCGCGTCTCGTCGGAAATTTCAAGTGCCGTTTCGTGAGGCGGATCTTTTTCAAATATGGTTATACGTTGAACGAACGACCGAGTGAATGTGTAATACGCATGTGTAAGTTCGCGTCTAAACGCGAACTTGCTTTGATAGACCATCTTACGAGCAATATCGGTTCGAAACGTTCTGTTCGTACTCGTTATGATTTCGTTTGCATGTTTGCCGATTCGTAACGAGGAAAGTTTGCCGTTCATCGTTCATCCCTTGCTCACTCGCTCAGTGCATACCTAGACTGCAAGCTCCAATGGGTGCGCCCATGTACGGGGTCAACGCGCACCACTTGTACATACATGCAAAGAAAGCAAGAGTTTAGCGGCGCGAGAGTAATTAACACGCCGCGCACGGCCGACACGCGTCAAAGGGAATAATTTTGTCACATCGGAAAAGCCAGCGAGTGTAATTAAAAGATCCCACTCGCGCGATTTAATAATTATCGTCCCTGCGACAAATTACATTTAATCGTGCCCTCTCGCCCCGCCCGTTTAATCTAATCGATCATTTCGCTCATTAAACTGACGCCTTTTACTCCATCTGCAGATGTGTTACGTTGTATGTGTATGCCGAGATGTTCGCCGAGAACGATATCTGTTTACTTCTCATTTAACCTATTTGAATTGTCATATTAATTGCTAATCCCGTTGCTCAACTTGCTACGCAAGCCAACAGTGCTATATAAGCTAATGCGGGGGTTATTTTTTTTTTTAGTTTACGTTTAATCGTGGAAAATATGACCTCCACGCGTATATGTATCGTGCAGAGAATTTGGGAGGAAAAATTATACCTAGGAAATTTGCATTTTTCCGAGTTTGCAATTACCATATCATATATCACGTGTATGTTGTTTTAGAATTTATTTTACGACGGATTTTTAATAGCGGAAGTTACGGAATTACGACTATTCGTTTACGAAACGCCTATACTGAGAAACCCATTCAGTTGAATCAACTAAATTCTGGTTTGGCTATGGGCAAACACATTTTTTGTTATAGGAAACCAAGGTTTGGTTCTCTGAATCAAAGGTTTGGTTCTTTGAAACCTCTGAAACTTCAGAGAACCAAACCTTTGCTTCAGAGAATTAAATCTTGGTTTCTTATAACAAAAAATTTGTTTGCCCATAGTCAAATCAGAATTTAGTTGATTCAACTAAACGGATTTCTCAGTCTCTAGCGTTACTTACGTTTCCCGCGATGAAACGAGCGTAAGTACAAATCATTTTGCGCGAACAAATACTTATGAGACATTCCCTTTAAGTTCGAAGTAATGTAATTCGAACAAGTGCTTAACTAAGTGATATTGAAACAATTATCCTCCGGCACCGTCACTGTCACCCTCTCGTAAAAGAGCTAAATTAGATTTCGCGTCGCGTCCGGGCCTTTCTCCCTTTCCGAAAACAGAATTTAACATTTTGGTCGCGTACGCGACAAACTTTCGAGCAGAGAGATGAGCGGGGCCGGCGGAATTCTTTCGCCGGAGACACAAAATCAGCCGGAGGGCTTCGCGCACAGACGAACGGATCGATTCGCCATGGCAATTACTCTCGCATGCATATTACGAACGAACTGGCGGCGGCGGCGGCTTTAAAGGAGAGATATGCATTATGCATTGTTAATCTAACCGTAGCCGGCCTCGCCAATTACACGCACGTAGGCATCGTTCCCACATTACCCGGTGGCAATAGCATTGAATTTCGTTCGTACACGGTGAGACACGCGATAACGTAACACCTGCCGCCCACACCGCGAAGACGCATTTCGAGCACGTCTCTTTCGAACGCGAGGCGAGTCGAGACGAAGCGAACGTTCTCGCGTGACACGTCGCCGGGGAATTTACATACGGTAATTGAATCAATCGTTCCGCAATAGTGGCGAAAGTAATTTCCTCGCGGACGAAACGTGGGAATGATGAAACAGCGCTTTCGCGCAGACAGAGGGTAATTAGACGGCCGCGTGGGTGATATATTGTTATTGTCGGAGATGTCGTGTATAAAATGTGCGAATCAACGGAAGAATAAGTATCGTTTTCGACGCTCCCTTTCTACTCTAATTATTTCGCGCGATGTGTATCTCAGCTTAAGGCCGCGCGCTCTTCCGATTGAATTGCATTGCTCCCGTCGCACTCGGTTATATTTATCGTCGAGAGCAGGGAAGAAAAGCTGGTGCTAAAAAAATCCTGTAGGAAAGCATTTCGTGGAAAACGTCTCCCAAGCAAACGAACAATGAGATTTCGACGAATAACAATTTTTGAAGGAAACAATCGCCGCCCCGGATAGAAAACAAATCAGAATCTAATTAATAACTGGTCAAGAATTCTGATTACTGTTCAGTATTTATCCAATATTATTGCCTGCTTTCTAAAATGTAATTAATATATTAACACTAAGAAGCAGTCCATAGTCACTGATCGTCATAATTAAAAGTATAGCACCGCAAATCAGTAAAATCTCGTTGATGGAATCAGTTAATAGCAGCGACTATTTGCATCAGTGAAACCTGACTGCAGAAGATAATGAAAAAAATATATTATTTATTTATTTTTTTTCTTTATTATCTTAACTAATCTTAATTATTCTTAAGGTATTATCAGTGATTTTGTGAAAAATATTCTTAATTATACAATAAAAAATTTTGTATTAAAGACGGTCTGATATTTTATATTACTTTAACATATGTGTTAAGAAATACATAAATGTAATGTTTAATTGACATATTCACGTTGTCAATACATATCAACACTGATTTATGCACTTTTTTTAACATTCCCCGTGTTAAAATAACACAAAATATCAGTGAACTGTTTTCAACATAAAACTTGTTACCGTGTATATGTGCCATTTAATTGATTTATATTGTACTTGAAAGATACGATGATGGGACTTGAATCTGGAACCTCTAAGCTCTTGAGTCCGCTACTTTACCAGCTACGGCAAATGCAATGTGTGGTTGAATATGTACACATATATGTATATATTTGTAGTTTTGCAATAAAATGTGTAACAGTAATTCGCAGTAAATTTTCTACCAGTGAAAGTCAGTGATATATAAAGTGGTAGAGCTGGATGGAATTGTTTCTACTAAGAATCAATAAACATTCATTTATTACCAATGAAATACTCTTTTACTAATTCGATCGGTGCAACTTTTATTGATTTGATTTAAGAGAGCACTGTCCGACTGCACTGCAATGACTGTCTAAAACGTACGAGCTAGAATATCACCAGTTTTAAATCAAGACATAAACCAACTAGCGTTTACCAATCTATTCGGCCCGGCTGGTTTCTGGCGAGTTTTCGGCTAGTTTCATCCGAACATGATTTCCTACCGAGTTATCGAACAGTGATCGTCTAATAAAGCCTAACCAATGAAAACTGATTTATTTCTGGCTAGTAATCAGTTTTTTTTTTCCCGGAAATACTTCCACTCGGAATATCCGCGAATACTCACACGGTCGGCACTGCATATCGAGCAGAGAATGCCGCTTTCTGATTTTAATTCTCGGAAATCCGAGGGTCTTTACGAAGCCGTCCAAGTTGACGCGAGCGAAAACGAAGGCGGCACGTGGACGGACGGATGACAGGGAAATCACACGATCGCGTGCGCTGAGGCGCGCGCTCGCGCAAGTATTTCAACCGTAATCTAATGTAAGTCCACACCGAGCGCGAAGGAGAGGAACGACGGAACAACGGACGAAGTAGATTGGCCCGTGCCCGATAGGCACGTGCCGGCGTACGGCATCTTAAACAACAAACTAACTTTCGCAGTTCCGAATATCTTTAGCCGCCGATGTTGGCCGAGACGCCGCGCTGACCCGGCTTAAACCCGGAAATTTCCCTAGAAATTTGTCAGAGCGACGTTCGCGGGGATGTTCCGAGATCGGCCAGATAGGTAAAGTCTGAGATTGCTGATGAGCGAGCAGATGCGGACGGGGGATAATCCCGTCTAACGGGAGGATTACGTCGGAAAAATTGGGCGATCCGGCCGCTTCCGCAATGATATTGCGACGTATTGAGTCGAGTTATTCCTGGTTCGTCTTCTCCCTCACGTTTTCCCGCGGGATTTCATCCTTCTCGTGTTTACGTCGATTCTTTTATTCAACTCCGGGTCTCACCGTTACATCCTTCTTCTTTAACTTTCATTTCACATCCGCCGTCGATCGATCATGGGTATCTCTCTGGGTGCCGTTCGGGGGTCGAACTGTCAATACGCGCTTCACCAACGGTTCAAATCAGATCGCGCGGTCATCTGCATGTTTTATATCAAATGTTTGCATACATCTGCATATCCGCCCGCGCTTCGTTGAAAAGTGACGTCGGAAGCTCCACGACCGTAGCTCTCGTGGTCGTCTCGTCCTTTTACATTCGCGCACGTCCGCCGAGATAGATAGAGACAAAACACCGGCCGCGTTTTGGGAAACCGTGTCACTCGTATACTTCAACGCCAGTGTAGCAAAATCCGGCCTGCGCGCGGAGCCGAAAAACCAGAGAGAGTTAAATCCGCCTATGGACAAGAAGGGGGAGAGACCGAACGAAAGGTCAATACGTGCACGTCGACGACGTCGGAGTACAGAAGTGTGTCCATCGATTCTGTCCTCGCGACATCCGGGATTCCACGGATGGAGAAAAACGGCACGCCGCGCGAGAAATTAGAGATCGGAATTGCGCGCACGAATGCGCGACGCGCGATTCGCGAACTTTACCCGCCGCCGT